TGTTTTTCTTGGGTACACAGTGTCCCTTTAATGTATACTTTGAAATCTTGAAAATTGTACTTAAAAATTATGTATATACTAGTATCATAAAATTTTATTATATACACACACTTATTTAGTATTTTTTAATTGGGGCCTTCTCTTATACTGTTTTGGATCTTTTTTCATCTTTTATATTTGTAATTTTCTATTGAGTTTTTTTTCATCTTTTAGACTACAGACAGTCCTTGGGTTATGTTGGACTCAACGTAGGTCCTTTCGTGGTTATGTCACCATCTCCCATTTATTTATTAAAAAAAAAAAAAGTTCCGTCATATCAATGTATGTACATATGTGCTTTATGTTTTTTATTTATTTACCACAAGTAAAGGTCAGGAATTGTTATCTTTCTTTTAAATTTTTTTTACTGTTTCACTTCATTACTGCTGTGTATGTGCTCCATGTGAGCGATGTAGGTACTTATGTAGGTGGGTTCCAACTGACGGTGAAAATCGCGTTATGTCACGCTGTAGGATCGGATCTCCCACATAACCCGAGGACCTACTGTATTTGTTAAAGAGCAGTTTTAGGTTTACAACAAAATTGAGAAAATATAGAGATTTCCCATATATTCTCTACCTCCACACATGCATAGCCTCCCCGACTACCAACATCCTCATCAGCCAGTACATTTTTTTTTTACCAAGAATGAACTACACTGACACATCATCACCCAAAGTCCATAGTTTACATTAGGGTTTACTCTTGGTGGTGTACATTCTGTGGGTTTGGACAAATGTATAACGTCATGTATACACCATTGTAGTATCACAGGGAGTAATCACTATCCTAAAAATCCTTTGTGTTCCATCTATTCATCCTCTCCTCCCAATCTCTAGCAACCGTTGGTCTTTTACTGTTTCCATTGTTTTTCCTTTCCAGAATGTTATAGAGTTGGAGTCATATAGGTTGTAGCCTTTTCAGATTGTGTTCTTTTAGTTAGTAATGTGCATTTAGGGTTTCCTCCATGTTCTTTTATGGCTTGATTGCTCATTTTTTTTCAGTGCTGAATATTATTCTATTGTGTAGATGGACTTCAGTTTATTTATCCACCCACCTTGAAGGATATCATGGTTCCTTCCAAGTTCCGGCAATTATGAGTAAAGCTGCAATATAGTTTTGATTTTTAACATTTTCTTTCTTTGCAACTTCTATTTATGACATTTTTCTACTGTATATTCACTCTTGTGTATCTTCTAGTTTAGACTTTTGGGTTTACAACAAAATTGAGAAAATATAGAAATTTCCCATATATTTTCATATATTCAGCTGAAGTAATTTTAAAAATTTACTTCTAACGTTTAACTCATTTCTGAGTTTTCCTAATTCTGATGTATATTTCCTCTATATCTTGCATAATTTTCTTCGTGTCTTTTTCTGTGATTAGAATAGTAGTTATAGCTTTCATCTGTCTTGTAGGCACATCTCTTGGACCTGCTTTCATTGTAAGGATGTTATTCTGCTCCTTCAATCAGTCTTCATGCTGGTCATTTTGATATGAAATCAGTTTTTCTGAACTTGTATCAGAGAAAGGTGGTTAGAATAGTTTTTTGAGATTTATGGCTTTAAAGTTCTCTTTTATATAATTTTTATGGTCAATCAAAATATGGCCTATTTCCCATGATTTCCTGCTTTTTCTTCACTTTCTTTTCCACTGCTTTTTTCTGGAACCACCCTTTCTTTCGTATCCATTATCCTTACATTGAAGATCTTTTTTACCTGAGCTATTAGTGTTTGATATTTATATTGCTCACAATTTCTTTGCAACATGGGGCTCCATCCTTTGAAGGCAGCTTTGTCTGATTAAGTTTGAATGTTCATAGGGCCCATTATGCTCCAGCCCCTTAGACACTACCATGAATTCATGAATTACCATGATTCACCTGCAAATGGGAGTGTATAAAACCCTATCTGGTTTCAACTGCTATTCTCAAATTGGCCCACTGTACTTTCTAGTGACTATCTGTTGCTTCTTTTATTCTCCTATACTCTTTTCATTAAATACTCTTGTTATGCCCCTCTGTTTTCTCCTACATAGGTGTCAATTCTAATTGGGATTATAGTCCTTGGAGATTTACCCTCACCTGCTCAAATTTTGGGATTCTTGGGGATTTCTCACCTCTTAATTCTGCTGTTTATGTTGACTAAGGGTAGGGTTTTTGCTTGTTGTTTGTTTTTAGCAAAATAACCACTCTGTTTACAGGTTTGAGATTAAAAACTATGCTGCCTTCACTGTCTTCTCAGTTCACATCAGTCTTGTGATTTTTCTTAAAAGAAAAGATAAGATAGTTGGTAAAGGCACTGGATATTTTCTGAAGTCCTAAAAGCAGAGCTAAAAACCATAAAAGTTTCTTCTGGCAGAAGCAAATCCAAGGGACATGTGTTTGTATATAACACTAAACACATCAGAATCTATAGCAGTATTATCTTCACAGGACAGTTAAAATACTAAGATTCATGTTGAAATTTACAAAGAGCCCTAGCCCGTTTGCTTAGTGGTTAGACGCAGCCGTGGGCAAACTACGGCCCACGGGCCGGATCCGGCCCGTTTGAAATGAATAAAACTAAAAAAAAAAAAAGACCGTACCCTTTTATGTAATGATGTTTACTTTGAATTTATATTAGTTCACACAAACACTCCATCCATGCTTTTGTTCCGGCCCTCCGGTCCAGTTTAAGAACCCATTGTGGCCCTCGAGTCAAAAAGTTTGCCCACCCCTGGTAGAGCATTGGCCCGAGGACTGAAGGGTCTTGGGTTCTTTTCTAGTCAAGGGCCCATACCTTGGTTTCAGGCTTAATCCCCTTGTGCTGGTTGGGTGTTTTCTCTCACATCAATGTTTCTCTTTCTCTCTCTCTCTCTCTCTCTCTCTCTCTCTCTCTCTCTCTCTCTGTCTCTCTCTTTCTCTCTCTCTCCCTCCCCACCCCCCCCTTCCAGTTTCTCTAAAATTCAATGGAAAAAATACCCTCGGTGAGGATTAACAAAAAATAAATAAAATCATTTACAAAGAAATTCCATGAGTGGAAGCCTCAGATCCTCAAAATTATTTGAACAATTGGGGACTGATAATAATTTCCTTATCTTTGTAACCAAATAGTAGAATTTTTCTATGTTTCAAATGTTTCTTCCACCTAATCAGATAATATCTAACTTTAGGGCTTATAGCTGTAGTCTCCTGTTGGGCTTCACTATATCTCTTTTGGTTGTTTGTTAATCCTCACTTGAATATATTTTTTCCTTTGACTTTTTTTAGAGAGTGGAAGGGAAAGAGGGAGAGGGAGAAGGGAGAGAAAGAGAAACATTGATGTGAAAAAGACACATCAATGGTTACCTCCCACATACACCCCAACTGGGGCCTGGGATTGAGCCTGCAATCCAGGTACTGGCCCTTTACTGGGAATCTAACCCCCAACCCTTTGGTGCTTGGGTGAACGCTCTAACCATTGGGAACACTGGCCAGGGCACTGCACCTCTTTAGTAAAGAGTCTTGAGTCCTTTTTATCATTTTCTTTTAATGTTCTTTTTTTAAAAAACTGCTAGTGTTTTGTTAAAAATAGTAGAAAAGTATTGTAAATTAGAGAATACTGATGAGATTTGCATATTTCAAATATTTAAAATTATAACTAAGAGAAACTTCTTTAACAAATTCTATTTGGGAATGGAATATATTTTTACAAAAGAGTTGATCTGAAATCAAAATACATTTATGGGATTAAGTTTGACTTTTAGTTATGGGTAAGTTGTCCCTTTGATTTAAAAACTTTTTTTTTTTAACCCTCACCTAAAGATACGCTTTTTTTATTTAGAGAGAGCAAGGGAGAGAGAAACATCAATCAGTTGCCTCTGGTACACACCCTGACACTAGGAATCAAACTCTTAACTTGGTTATGTGCCCTTAAGGGAATCAAACCCACAACCTTTTGGTGTATGGGATGACACTCCAACCAACTGAGCCACTCAGCCAAAAATGGCCTAAAGACTCATTTTTGTAAGTTGATTTATTGATAGTATAAAATTATATAGATGTCTACATTAGTATAAAATTAAGTGTGTTCATTTTGGAGCTAAATAAGCAAAAATTTTGGTCTCAGTTAAGTCATTTTACATTTTTAGAAACTGAAGGATGTTTTGTGGTGCTTTATTATCAAAATAGAAACAAATGAGTCATTTTATCATAAGAAAGACCCTTCATGGTATTATATCTTGTAAAAACAGCTTGTCTTTTAGTTTAAAAATCTGTAAATGCTAAATTATTAGCAGATAGGAATTCATCAATTTTATGATGTTTCGATAGGCATCATGAAATTAAAGTTTTGAAATATTTGATTACTTAGCATTTATATAAAGCAAATATTCATAGCACATTTTTATGCTTAAAATCATAATATTAGCCTTTCTTTTACAGTTTTTAAATCAAGGAGCAAAGAGATAAAGCATCATATAACAACAAAATCAGAAACAAAAATGTAATTTACTTTCGATCCCTGATTTCCAATATAATTTATAACTCATTGTCGTGTTACTTTTCTAATCATTACCTATATTTTATATACAATAAAAATAAGTTACATACATGATTTATTTTTTCTCTTTAATTCAAACAAATTATTCACATCTAATTTAGATAATATAATATGGTATTTGAGTTTCATAAGTATTTGTACTAGTTATAAGGTTATTTAAAGACAGACATTGAAGTAAGTATGGATTTTATATTATCTCTATAAGCATTATTGGCTCGTTTCTGTCATTGGAAGAGGTCATTTTATTTTTTTGTCAGCTGTTGCAAAAAGCAATTGAACCTTTGTTTTTTTCCCGTCTTGAGTAACTTTGATTTTATTTCTAGAGGTGATCACATTTGTGACTAGTATGATTAGACTGATATTGGATCAGTAGACTAGCTCCGTTCAAGTTAATGTTTCAGATTAGGGCATCTATTAATTACATGTATTGCTTACTTTAGGGTCAAAACCCAGTTAGAAAATGTGACCTCTGACCTCTTGTGACATGTTTGGCATTGAGATTTCTGAGTTCTCCTGGAGTTCTTCCTGTCGCTACAGACAGACATAAGCCCAAACTGTAAGTCCTCTTTGTGTGTAGGTTGCAACCAGGTACTCATTATTTATTTGTTTATTACGATTTAATCTTATGAAACCCACAGTTTCTAGGAGCTGTTTACTAAAGTTATAATTTTGCTTTGTCTTTCTGTCAGTTTCTGTTCCTTAGATTTTATTTATTCTAGAGGAGAAAAATGGCCATTGCCTAAATTACTTCTTTGAAAATAAGTTAGTTTTAAAAAAGTACCAGTTAATATGCTATATATGTAATCCTAAGAATTCTTCACAGCATTACTAAGTACATTCTCACTTCAGTCTACATGGTTTTGTACATATCTTTTTATGGTCGCCGATTGGCAGGTACACTACCATTGTTATCATTATTATTTTACATAATAAGAGCCTTATGGAAGAACTGATTCTGAATGACCATAATTCACAATTCCACAGTGAGTTTTTTTTGTGTTTTTCCCCCTTCAGTATGCCATATTCTTATGACACTCCTCTTGGTTTAGACTGTTGTGTAGCTGTTTTTATGTTTGACATTTCTCTGCAGATCTGCGAAGGAAACATACAGACAAGGCATAGATTTGAGTGGGGTCAGTGTGGGTCCTTGGAAGTTGGATGGTGTTTGGTGAGGCAGAGAGTCGAAGCAAAGGACTAGGGTTTTAAGGAAAAGGGGATGAAAGGGTGAGGACCAGACTAGGAGAGCCTATGTACCAGCTTTGATTTTTATCCTGTAGCTCGAAGGGAATAGTGAATGTGTTTGAAATGGTGAAAGTAAAACAGACTTTTTTCCTCCCTAGTTATATTGAATAGTCCTCTTAAATGTCTCTTGAGTTTGTCTGCTCTTCCCTCTCTTGGCCTGGGTTTTCCTGCCTCTGCAGTGGCTGCAGGTTTCTAATTGGACTTCCAGCTTCCTGGTCTGCTAGTCTGTTTTTTCCCCCATCATTGGTGTCAGAGATATTCTTCAAAACACCATCTTACCAGCTATTCCACTATAAAAGCCTTGTTCTGTTGCCCATGAAGGCCAGATTCCTGTCCAGGTGTTAATGCCTTGCCTTTCTCTTCTGCATTCTCCTGCTGCTTCCCACTCAAGGTGCTGCACTCTGGATGCACTGGGCTCTCCTGTTTCCACACTCTGCCTGGGATGCCTGTCCTCCTGGACCCATCTGTCAGGCAGGCTCCTCTTTCAAGTCAAATCTCCTAGGAAGTTGTTCCTGACACCTTTAAATCAACCGAAGCCTCACATTTTATCAGCTATTTTTCTAGATTTTAGTTTTGATTGTGTTCTTCTTAAAAATCCTTTTGATTTCCCCATTGAGCATAAAGTGTACATACCTGAACAGGGCATTTGTGCAGAGCCCTTCACTATTTAGACCCTCACATTTTTTTACTTTTCATACCCTGTGTCTGCCCACTTATAGCTCCATATGATTCCCAATTACCCAAGTGCTCTATGATTTATTTTGTATTTTTCCTTCATTAATAGACATAACAAACATACCCTATCTTTTAAGATTCAATTAAAATATTATCTCCTTTGATATACTGATTCATTTCTCACTATAATCAATCTCAATACCGTTGCTTTTTGCTCACATATTAATATGTATAAAATTCAATTTTATTATTTATTATAGTCTCTTACAAATTATAAAAAATATTTCTGCTTTGCTGGTTATAAACTTCTCAAGGGCAGGGCATACATCTTTCCTATCTTCGGATCTTAGTGTGAAGCTGGGACAAGGCATGGAGAAAAGGTTTCTTAATAGTCAGTTGCATTAACTGAAGGAGCTGTTTGAGAACACGAGATATTATTTTGTGACAAGCACTGTGCTTTACATGACTTAACTCATTTAATTTTCACAGCAACTCCATGAGGTCTGTTGTCATTATCTTCATTTTCCTGATCAAGATGAGAAAGCTTGGACAGGTGAAATAAATTGTCTAAGGCCACACAAGTTTTCAGCAGAACTAAAGTTTGAATATGAATCTGTCTGATGTGTTAGTCCAAGCTCTTAACCATTAAATATTTTCTTTTGATATTTAATGAATTTATGTTTGTATCCTTGCACACTTTGACTCTTGTTTTCTACATGGTATTTCCAAATTATCTCATTTCACCCTAGCAGCAACTCTCTGACATTAAAATTACCACCACTTTATAGGTGAAGAATTAGAGGCTGTTTGAGTAAATTATTTGTACCAGGTTAAGTATTAGAATTAGGAAGAACCTAGTTCTTCAGAGTATATTCTAAATTTTAAAAATAAATTCATTGATGAAGCATTCACAGAGATGCTATTTAGGTTTTGAAGTTTATTAATTTGTGTTCAACACAATTTTAAAATAAAACATTTGTTGTATATCTATCCATCTATAAAGCAGATCATTATTGGCAGATCATTATTACTTTAATTTTTTTATAGTAAAACTATAGGCCCAGTGCACAAAATTTGTACATGGTGTGGGGGAGGGCTGGAAAGGGGCCCCTCAGCCCGGCCTGCACCCTCTCCAATCTGGAATCCCTTGGGGGATGTCCGACTGTCTCTCTCAATCTGGGACCCCTGCCTGCCTGCCTGACCTGCCTGATCGCCCCTAACTGCTCCCCTGCTGGCCTGATTTCCCCTAACTGCCTCTGCTTCCCCCCACACCCTGGACCCAGGATTCCCTCCTTCTGGCCGGCTGCAGGCACCCAGGCCCCGGGCTGACTTCGCCCGGGCCAGCCACAGCCACAGGGGACCGTAGGCAGGTGACTTTGCCTGGGCCGCAGCCGTAGGCCAGGACCGCAGGGCAGGCCACAGCCTGGCTGGTCCCCATTACTCTCTCCCCAGCGTTGAGTGTCTGAGCCATAACAGCGTGACGACGTGAGGGCATGATGACCATTTGCATATTAGCTCTTTATTATTAAGATACACAGCGTGAAATTTACCATTTTAACTTGGTTTAAGTGCACAGCCTTAGTGGTTTTAAATACATTTATATTGTCAGCCATCACCACCATTCATCTCCAGAATTTTTTCAATCTTGTAAAACTGAAACACATTACCTATTAAACAATAACTCCCCCACCCTTGGCAACCACAACCACCATTCTACTTTCTGTCTTTATAATTGTGACTAAGCACTGCATAGAAGTGGAATTGTACCGTATTAGTCTTCTTGTGACTAGCTTATTTCACTTAGCATAATGCCCTCAAGGTTTATCCACATTGTGGCATATTCCAGATTTTTTTTTCTTTGCATATATACCACATTTTGCTTATCAATTTATCTGTCAGTAGACACTTGGGTTACTCCCCATTTTTAGCTATTGTGAATAATGCTGCTATGAACATGGTGTACAAGTATCTCTTTTGAGACCCTGCTTTCAATCCTTTTGGGTCAGTACCCAGAAGTGGAATTGCAGGATCATATGGCAATTCTATTTTTAATTTGTTGAGGGGCCACCATACTGTTTTCCACACTGTGCCATTTTACCTTTTCACCACCATTGCACAAAAGTTCCAGTTTCTCATTATCCTTATCAACATTGTTTTCAACATTTTGATAGCAACCATCCTATTGGGTGGGAGGTGGTATCTCACTTTAGTTTTTATTTGCATTACCTCAGTAATTAGTGATGTTGAGTATATTTTCATGTGCTTATTTGCCTTTTATGTATCTTCTTTGGAGAAATGTCTACACAAGTCCTTTGCACAATCGGGTTGTTCATTGTTGGGTTTTGGTAGTTCTCTATATGTTCTGGACAATAATCCCTTATCAAATATATGATTTGCAACTATTTTCTCCCATTTAAAGGTTGCCTTATGACTATGTGGATAGTGTCTCCTATACAAAATTTTCAGTTTTCAAAGTCCAATTTGTCTATTTTTCTTTTGCCTGTGCCTTTGGTGTCATATCCAAGAAATCATTGCCAAGTCCAATGTTGTGAAGCTTTAGGCTCTTCTAAGATTTTATTCTTTTAGGTCTGCCATTTAGTTCTTTGATCAGTTTTGCATTATTTTTGTATATTGTGTTAGGTAAGGGTCTAACTCTTAGATATTCAGTTTTTCCAGCATACTTTTTAAAAATAAATTCAAAGTTTGCATTATTTTTTTTAAAATCTATTTTTATTGATTTCAGAGAGGAAGGAAGAAAGAAAGATAGAAACATCAGTGATGAGAGAGAATTATTGATCAGCTGCCTCCTACTGGGGATGGAGCCCGAAACCCATGCATGTGCTCTGACTGGGAATTGAACTGTGACCTCTTGATTCATAGGTCAACACGCAACCATTGATCCACACCGGCCAGGCACCCAGCACCATTTGTTGAAAAGACTGTTCCCCATTGAGTGGTCTTGGCACCCTTGTCAAAAATCATTTGAATGTATGTATATGTGAGGGTTTATTTCTGCGATCTCTGTTCCATTCCATTCATCTACATATTTGTCTTAATGCCAGTACCACTTAGTTTTGATTACTGTGGCTTTGTAGTAAGTTTTGAAATTGGAAAGTGGGATCCTCCAAGTTTTCTTTTTCTTTTTTCAAGATTGTTTTTACTATTTTGGGATACCTTTAGATTTACATATGAATGTTAGAGTGGGTGGGTTTTTCTATGTCTGATAAAAAATATCATTGGGATTTTAACGGGGATTGCATTTATGTAGATCGCTTTGGGTAATAATTGACATTTTAACAATATTAAGTTTTCTAATCCATGAACATGTGATGTTTCCATTTACTTATATCTTTAATTTCTTTTAGCAATGTTCTATAGTTTTGATTGTATACATTTTCATCTTATTAATTCCTAAGTATTTTATACTTTTTGATGCTATTGCAAATGAAATTATTTTAATAATTTTCCTTTTAGATTGTTGATTGTTCATCTATAAAAATAGAACTGATTTTTGTGTATTGACTTTGTATTGTACTACTTTGTTGGATCCATTTATTAGTTACAATAGCTTTTTTTGTGAAATCTTTAGAATTTTCTACATATGATATCATTTGCAAAGACAATTTTACTACTTCTTCT